CTCATACTTCTGATGACTTGCTTGGAAATCCAGTATAGTTCAACCCATAATGCCACTCATAGCTCCGGCTTATTGTGGAACAAGGACACCAAACAAAATCAACCTAGGGAAAAGGTCCACGTATCAAAGTCTTGGGAAATTAGACACGGACATCCATGGTCCTCTCCGAAGAGATTCACTCAGATGGGCTTAGTTCCCCGTCTGTGAGTTATGAACAAGCCAACAGGCACGGGACAGGCACAGTGCACAGGCATCCGCCTGCTTTACACACACCACATTCTGATCTCTGATCTCTCGGGGAAAGCGGAAAATCATCAAACACACAGTCTGTGTGAACCATGCAGGTACAGTGAGTACCAGTTAGAGATAGAAACCCTGTTTCTAGAAGCTACAGCCAATCTCATGAGCAAGCTTTTCTAAGGGCAAGCTGTCAGCCATGAGAGCTGACTGCTAAAGTGAAGTTACTCTTCAGTGTAAAAAAAAAAAAAAAAAAAGCTGTGTGTGTTCTCTTTCTTCTGCTGCGTTTTCCCCTAACCACCTAGTTCCTCTTGAGTATGGTGGAGAGCCATGAGGTAGGGAAAGGAGGAGACAGGAGAAGCAGCAAAATTCTTCATTGACCAGTGTTGAACACATCTGGGCCTGGGTGGAATTTAAAGTTCAGCACTATGTCTTATTAGCAACCCTGTGCATTCTTGTACATTCTCCTGATTTAGAGGATTTTCTGTAGTGAAGTGACACATTTTTTTCTTATATTTTTTTAGACCATTCTACACTGTCTTTTCAACCACCCATATGCCCCTCAGCAGTCCTCCTGGGCAGGGTTTTCAAGAGCTGTTTGTAATCCATGGTTTCTGCACAGCCCACGTCTGGCTGGTGGGAAACATGTGGCATTTTTGCCCCAATATCCACTCTGACTATCAATCTTCTTGTGAAGACTCCTTTCCTTGTCTAAAATGGTCTGAACAGCCAGCCAACATGATTTTCTCTTAGCACTCTAGCTGATAGCCAGAGCCAGATACAGCCCAGCTGTTGCTCAAGCTGCAGAATAAAGCATCCAGCTTTCTGAGTGGTACTGTGAATGTATTTCTTCTTGCTTAACACAAAAGTAGAACAGCTCCTTTCACCTTGGTGACTGAAGGGAAGAGAGAGATCATGATGCACAGCAGTTCTCTCCAGAAATTACTTCTATAAATTACTTCCAGCAACTTCTCTCAAAACTTACTTTGAATCTAAGAATCATATGCAAATCTAAGGTTTTTGCATGTGTGTGCCAATGCTGGAAGCTTAAACTCAGGGTCTGGGCACTGTCCCTGAGCTTCTTTTGTTCAAGGCTAGCGCTCTACCACTTGAGCCACAGCTCTACTTTCAGTTTTTCTTGAGTCATTTGTTGGCGATTCCGCAGTGATATTCATTAGACACTACGTTGAAAGTGGACTATACAATTTGGGAATGGGGAGCCAGGAGGGAAAAAAAAAACTAGGAGAAAATGAGGGAGGAAGTGAAACTGTTAAAAAAAGAAATGTACTCAATACCTGATGTATGTAACCCCTCTGAACATCACCATTACAATTTTAATAAAAGAGTCTCATGGACTGCTCAGGCTGGCAACCCTCAGATCTCAGCTTCCTGAGCTAGGATTACAGGTGTGAGACACTGGTGTCTGCTTGCAGATCTAACTTTTAAGGGACCTAAAGGTTATATAATTTTGGATGTTTCTTTTTAGTATATATGAGGAGTATATATGTGTGTGTGTGTGTACGCACGTGTGCATGCAAGCATGTGCATGCTGGTGCTATGGTGAATGCGGTATCTTTTTATTAGAGATCCAGGTAGCAGGAGTTAGCTAATAATCTAGCTAACTAAGACATGACAATTTTCACTAAAAAATTCTCTGCTCTGGCAGCTGTACATTTAGCAGTATTCCTGGATTCTACCTATTAGATATTCTACAGTTGCAGTAAAGTATCTGCAGAGACAAAATTGAGAACTTCTCTCCTTCACTGAGAATCATTGATCTAGTGGGGAAGTAATTTATAGACAGAATTAGCTAGCATTTGAAAGCAATTGTGTGATTCCAGATCATAACTGCGAACAGTTCAGTGTGGGTATTTTTTTTCCCACAAATACCCACACCTCTCACAGTGCCAACCCAGGCAGGTGCACAACCAGGAAGACCGATCCAGTATGAAAACCTAGTGTAGAGCAAATAGGGACTGAGATAAATTCTTGGACCTCAAGCCTCTGTAAAAAAGTGATTTCAAATTTTAGATCTTATGTATAGAAGAAACTTGATGGAGGATTGCCCTATTTTTATGGTAATCTTAGATATTTCCATGACATCACCAAGGATGTGTTGTGATGCTGAAAAATGTTGTCTAATTCCATCAGTAAAGAAAATAAATCCCAAACAACCATGCCAGAAGAAAGACTGCAATAACTTTGGTTCATACTATTGAACAAATTTTAATGTCGATGTCTTAGGTAGACAGGGGATCAGAGACTCCCGACTTAAGTTATAGGAAGCAGTGTCATCGAGGAAGGTCAGGTAATTTAACTAATTGCATTATTTTTCTGAGATTTAGAATGTTTGTTAACATTTGTCAGCTTTCTAACTTGGTTTTGTGGTTTATCAATGCATTCAATAGGTATAAATTCTTATATAGTTATATATTGATGTTTATATAAATTTATTTATAAGTTGTATTTAGTAATGTGTATTTACACACACACCCACACACACAATTGAGGCATCCTGAAGCTTTGACTTCGTGAGTCTGGGGCTAAATCAACTCTGCTAATGCATTTGTTCTCCTGCTCTACTGATACAGAGGTCCCAGATAGATTCCAAGAACAAATCTAGTTTATAGTGTTTGGTAACAAATCACTTCACTTTTGTGAAGTTTGAATAAGAGAGAGGTCATATACTGACCCCTGGAAGTCCAGAATATGAACTGCTGATGCCATTTGTTAATTCTCTCAAGAATTTATATGTTTTGAATGATGGTCAGGTCTTGAAAATTATGATATATTCAGGCTTTCAGATTTCAAAGGTTTTCTTCCCTAATAGAAGAGTTTGAACTCAAAGCCTTGAGCTTTCTCTGCTTGCTTGCTCTGCTGGAGCTCTGCCACCTGAGCTGTGCCCCTAGCTTGGCTTCTTGTGGGTTATTTTAGAGGCAGGTGGCTTTGAACTGTATCCTCTGGATCTCAGAATAACAGGCATGAGCCACTGGTGCCTGGCTAGCTGTCAGTCTTTGATTGCAAAGTCACATAGCATTAGGTTCCTAGTCTCATCTGGCAAGAGGTGGGAATTGTTTGGGAGATTGTTTTTTCATTTTCAATTTACCCAAGACCATTCCTAGCCAATGTTTTGTCCTCCTGCCTGAGATATTTGAATCTGTAGGACCTCTTAGTGGTAGCCACTTTGCAAAAAAGACAGTACAAATATTCAACAGTGCCATTGGTGTTTACGCTAAACTCTACCTGCTAGTCTCTCTTTAATGCTGGACCAACATTCCTTTATTTACCATGGGTCATTTTCCTTTTCTCGGAGAGTTACAGATATGCACGTAAAGAGAAGCTACATAATGTCTGCCATTTATCATGTGCTGGACCTCTTACGAAATGTAAAGTCTGGCAGGTCTTAGAGGGATGAAGTGTAATCTTCATAACCCTAAGGCTATCCCTGGCGTTTACATGACTCCTCATGGGAGTAACCTAACAAACTAATATGTTTGTTAATTTTTAGGTAAATAAGACAACAGCTCAAGCAGAATTCAGGCATATTTATTTACCAAGATTGATGTCTCAGACACATTATTAATAACGTTATTTGATGCTCACTATGAACTAGGCTGTGGAGAAGACAGGTGAACTAGTCCTTACAAAGTGGCAGAGAAACTCAGATGCAGATAAACAAAAGCACTAAACCAGGGGAAGCGTGAACCCAGAAGTAGAGATTAAATGGCTGAGAAGATAGAGAGGAATGGACAAGGGATGGCTCTGTGGAGAAGGCCTGGGAGAATGGATAGGATGAGAAATAGAACAAGATAACAAAAAAACCATTTTCAAAGGGGAGACCCTTTGTGAGCCAAAGCTGTCCAGTCTGTCCTTCAAGAGCAAGTCCATGAGGCAGAGAATGGCCCTGTGCCTAGAAGCTTGGAATGCTATGTTAAGTATAAGCTTTTTCTGGAGGCCAGAGCAATTTCTAAAGAACTTTTAGCTGAAATTGTATGTGTGTTTCAGAGACATCAACCCAGTAACCATGTCATGTATAACCTTCAGTGGAGAGAGCCACACAGGGTGATATGCCAGGAGATGGTAATGCCATTTAAGTGAGAAACAGTTGCTCCAGTTTTATAAATCCCAGAGTCTGATTCCTTCCCATCAGTCTTTGCTTCAGGAGCAGGCTTTGCTCCTGAAAATATTGTCTTTGGTGGTATTTATTTCTAACCCCTCCCCTGTAATTCATCATTAAGTATAACAAACTGGGTGAGGGCTGAAAGATTTTTAAGATTTAAAACTCAAATATTCCATGTCCCATATCACCTCTCACAGAACATGGGCCCTGGGTAATATCAGTCATTGATAATTTCTGAGGCAGTTGTAGACTTTGTTAGCTCTTAAATACCCTCTCCTATACATCATGGAAAATTTTGCTTACATAGGGATGAGACCTAATACACAAAGCTCCACTAACATGGGAGATAGAATTAGTGAAAGATATGGGAAGTGAATTGACAAAATTTTTCCATGTAGTTAACGGCAGGGCAGAAATCATTACTGACACAGCATGATGGCTTATCATAATTGACCATTAGAGTATTTAAGAAGCAGTATGTCAGTAAGTGGATGGATTCAAAAGCTCCTCCATCTACAATGCAATGCCATTTGTCTCATAGCTATGCAACCGTGGAAAGATGCAAGGAAGATCTGAATGAATAGCAAGAATGAATAGCAAGAAGCCAACCTGAAGCTGTATGTATTATATGACTTCAAACGCTATGACATTCAGCAACAGGCAGAACTATCGAAAAGTAAAAAAAGATCAGTGGTCACCAGGGCCTTGCAGTGAGGAAGGAATAAACAGGTGGAGCTTAGAGGATGTTTATAGTGTTGAAACTACCCCTATAATACTACAATGGTTGAAACATGCCTACAGAATGCCAAGAGCAAGCCCTAATGTGAATAACGTATTCTGAGTAATAATGATGGGACAATATAGATTTATCACTATAGCAAATGTAGTATTCTGGTGGGGAACATTGATAATGTAAAAGGTACTGCCTGAGATGTGAGGGCGAGCATTATAAAGGAAATTCTGGAACTTCTCACTTTTATTATGTATCTAAAATTACTTTAAGAAATTACCTACTTAAAACAGCAATAGTGGCTATCTTGTGTTCTGAGATGTGCTCATGAATTAGTAAAAAAAAAAAAAAATAGGTAGAAATATCTATAACAATATTGCTAGTCTGTGCCGTGAGATGCATGATGGTCAGTGGAAAAAACTCAACTTAAAGTGACCTTAGAATGAACACAAAGGAGCCTAAATATGTATCATCTAAATATGTATTTTCAGGAACAGGACGTATTCAAACACTCCGGGACACCTCCCTTGCTCTGTTCTGCTTCTCTCTCCTAGAGTAGAGCCATCCTGTCATCTTCAGTCTTTTAAACCCTTTTCATTCTTTCAAAAAGATGAGAAATTTATGAACTGTATGGCTGCAGACTCAGAGATCTCAGCCCTCTTACCTATGCTCAAAAAAAGGGACCATATTCATCTTCTGCCTCTAAAAATGTCAAAATGCACACAGAGGAAAATTTGGATTGGGTTGGCATATTGTTACTTTTCCTATCACTAGCAGCCCTCTGAGATAGTCTTACTAGAAGCCAACATGTAAGTCACATCGTTATAATTGGAGAAGGTATACTTTTTCAGACGAAAACAGACAGATTCCAGAGAAATGATCCAAGTATGAGAAGCCTTTATTGCAACTGGTTTTTACTCAGGCAATGGATGCAGATAATTATATAGCTTTATGTTCCTGCAAATATTTTTGTATCTTTCATCATTGTAATGATGTAGTAATGTCTGTATGAATGACATCTTCTGCATGCTTCTCTTTATTATTCGGAGTGAATTTTATTTGCTACAAACAAAGACTTTCACAAATGAAAGTTTAAATTTAAACTAAAAATGTTGTGTCAAGGCACACTTTTATTATCTCCTCATAGGACCTAGCATTAACTCATTGAATATAGCTCACACCTGAGCTAAACTAATTCTAGTGCTAAGCATGAGTTTCACTAAAATGGACAAGAAGAGTTTGCTGAGGAGAGTACATTAAGAGTGACAACTGACCCTTAGGACCAATTTTTACTATCAATCATATGTCTAAAATGTTTAAGAAGTGGACTAAAGCTAGGCATACAGTGGGCCATCCATGCCTAAAATTCTAGCTATCCAGAAGGCAGAGATCAGAAGAATCATATTTTGAAACCAGGCAGGAGAGAAAGTTATCATCTTATCTAACAAGCTGGGCATGTTGGCTCATACCTGCCATTCCAGCTAAGTGGGAAGCATAAATAGGAGGATCATGGTCCATGCTAGCTGTCATAAAAAATAATTAAGAACAAAAGCCAAGTGCTAGAGCACATGGCTAGCAAGTACAAGGTCCTGAATTCAATCCCTAGTACTGTCACCAGAGCGGGCAAAATAAAGAAAATGAAGGAGGAGGAGGAGAAGGAGGAAGAGGAGGAGGAGGAGGAGGAGGAAAAGGAGGAGGAGGAGGAAGAAGAGGAGGAAAAGGACTAGTGCCCTATTACTGTGGAAGATGAAGAACAAGTTAGAAAGCCTGGGTAGGAGACAATGGTGATCTAGGGTAAGCTGTAATAGAATGAAGAAGGAGGAGTGATTTTACCTGCCTAGGGATGCTGAGGTAAGCTTTGCAGTACTAACCTGTGAACAGGTGCTTGAAGAATAACATGAGCTTTCCAGGTAATAAGAGAAGAAAGACAAAAGTGTCAAAGGAACTGCCAGGGACCATGGCACATGGACGTGTGCGACATGTAGACTTGAAAAGACTTTTCTAACTCTAAGGAACATAAATCTACTCAAGCTAACCTAAAGAGAGTGGGAGGGAGAGAAGGAAGATGAAAGAAAGAGAGAGTTGGAAAGCAAGGGACTAGGTTCCTGAGAATCCAAGAGCAAGTGCCCCGCTGGGACACTGGGGCGAGTACGTGCTCAGGGGCGGCGTGGATATCATCGCGGCCTGTCGTCTGCAGGTGAAAGCTCTTACCTCATACCATTTCTATGCTGCTACATGTGTCTCCTCTGTTCTAGTCTTGCATATGGCATAAAATGAACACAAGACCCCTAGACATGCCTCTGACTCTATTTAACCTTTTAGTTAGAGTAACACATCTCTCTGAAAACACAATGTGTCCTTCTAAAACTAAAAAACAAAAAACAGGAGAGAGACAGACAGACAGACAGACACAGAGACACAGAGAGAGAGTGAGACAGAGAGAGAGAGAGAGAGAGAGAGAGAATGAAGAAAGAGAAAAGAGAAGTACCCCAGAAGTGGTGGCACATGTCTATGATCCCAGCACTCAGAGGCAAGGCAGGATTGTAAGTTTGAGGACAGCTCAACTAGCTAGGGAGACCCAGTCACAAATAACCAAATGGGAAATTTAAGGGAAGGAAAGAAGGAAGCTCCATTGGGGGATGGCTAGCCTCTGGTGCTTTCCATAGCTTGAGATGTATCCTTCTTAGAAAGACCTGCCTGGATGCCCTTTAGTGTAGTCAGCAGGCAACTGGGTGAAGGGATACCATGTGGCTGATGAGTTAAAATTACATTCTGGGGCAGCTGGACCATGAGCAGTGCTTCACTTACCTGTTTTTGAACTTAAAGAGAATTAGATTCACAACCCGGCGACACCACTTTCATCATCCACAAGGCAGAAGTAGGACCACAGCTGCTCGGAGAGGCGGTGTGACTGTACATCTTCAAGGATGTGAGGAAATGAAAGGGGATGCCAGGAGCCAAGCAGGGATGACGGATTGATGAATACCAATGGCTGAGCCCCATTAGCAATGACAGTATGGTTGCAGGGTCACGTATTTCCTGGATGATATCTTTCTCACCCTGGGGGATGTAATGAATGAACACATGAGGTGTCAGTCAATTACTGCTCCATTGTGTCACTGCGGGTAGAAATTCATCATGTCATTTCTACATTTCTAGACAGGAGTGCTCTGTTCTAGTCTTGCTCAGCAGCCATCATTCTGGTGCTTCCAATGTTCTTCCAAATGTCCACGGCCATGTTCAAATTTGATCTGATGATACAAGGTATTTCTTCTCTATGCATGTTTAATGCATTGATGTTTTACAGGGAAATAGCCAAGAGGGTAACTTTTCCTTTAGAATTTGTTAAGGCAAATAGATGAGTGGACCCAAAAAAAATATGGTACCTAGATACAATGGACTTTTACATAGCCATTAGAATGAGTATTATATCATTTGCAGGGAAATGGACAGATCTAGAACAAATCATGTTAAGCAAGGTAAGCCAAGCTCAAAGAGATAAACAACTTATGTTTTCTCTCATATGCAGAAGCTAGATCTAATGTGAACTGCAACATGATAAATTATTACAGGACTCTAGACATTCACACACATTGGGACCAAAGGAGGATATTCTCAGGAGAGGAACACGAAGGCGCTATGCCTATGTGCATCTGATCATATGAAATAATATTCATTGAAATGAACTCCAGGAAATGGAAACAAGAGGTTTTCTTAATTTGTTGTTGTTTTTGTTTTTTTTTCTTTTGTCTTCTTTTTTCATTTAGCTGTCTTTTGGAGGGTGAACAAATGCAGCAGTGGTGCTCAGTTGAAAATGAACTATACAACTTGTGGGTAGGGATGGGAGGAAAAAACTGGGAGGGAGGGAGGGAAGCGATGACATTGTCCAAAAGGAAATGTTCTCATTACCCAACTTACACAACTGTAACCCCTCTGTACATCACCTTTACATGAACAATAAAAAATAAAAGAATTTGTAGAGGTTCGGCTGCTCCGGCCTGGTTGTGGCAGCCTGGCGGAGGCGGGGGGGGGGGGGGGCGGCTGAGGCCCTCGTGGAGGTCGGCTCGGCCGGGCAGTTCGAGAAGCTGTTGGGCCTCAAAGCCAAGTCCCTCCTCGTGGTCCACTTCTGGGCACCTTGGGCTCCACAATGTGTGCAGATGAATGATGTAATGGCAGAGTTAGCTAAAGAACACTCTCAAGTTTCGTTTGTGAAGTTGGAAGCTGAAGCTGTTCCTGAAGTTTCTGAAAAATATGAAATTTGCTCGGTTCCCACCTTTCTGTTTTTCAAGAATTCTCAGAAGATCGACCAATTAGATGGTGCACACGCACCAGAGTTGACCAAAAAAGTTCAGCGCCATGCATCTAGGGGCTCCTTTCCACCCAGTGCTAGTGATTACCGTAAAGAAGACCTTGGCCTCCACCTGAAGAAGCTAACTCATGCTGCCCCTGCATGCTATTCATGAAAGGTTTCAGTAAGCAGATGGTGGAAATTCTTCACAAACATAACATTCAGTTTAGCAGCTTTGATATCCTCTCAGATGAAGAAGTTCGGCAAGGGCTCAAAACTTATTCCAATTGGCCTACCTATCCTCAGCTCTATGTTTCCGGAGAGCTCATAGGAGGACTTGATATAATTAAGGAGCTAGAAGCATCTGAAGAACTAGATAATTTGCCCCAAATTTGCCCCAAAGCTCCCAAATTAGAGGAAAGGCTCAAAATGCTGACGAATAAAGCTTCTGTGATGCTCTTTATGAAAGGAAACAAACAGGAAGCAAAATGTGGATTCAGCAAACAAATTCTGGAAATACTAAATGGTACTGGCGTGGAATATGAAACATTTGTCATATTGGAGGATGAAGAAGTGCGGCAAGGATTAAAAACATTTTCAAACTGGCCAACATACCCTCAGCTGTATGTGAAAGGGGAGCTGGTTGGAGGGTTGGACATTGTAAAGGAGCTGAAAGAAAATGGTGAATTGCTGCCTGTACTGAGAGGAGAAAATTAATAAATGTTAAATGCAATATCCACCTCTTGCAAGAATTATTTAATTACAACGGAGCAGTTTATGATTCAGTCCTCAGAAGTGGACTAAGAATAAAAAAATGCTTCTTACCAAGTTATGCTTTGTGAATTTCACAAGGTTGTGTTAAATAAATGTATGTTACATTTTTTCCACCTAATGAATGCAATAAATATCTTCAAATTGAAAAAAAAAGAATTTGTAGAGCAGAAATAAAAATGCTATGTACTAAGGGTAAAGAGACCATAAGAGTTTAATCTCTAGTGAACCAGAAATCCCTAAGGAATAGTTTATCTGGATCTCTTTGTCCTGGCCCTGAGTCTCACTCAGAAGTGGAAGCAAGAGAAAGAGAAGAAAGTCAGACATAAGCATCCTTAGCACTGAAATCTATGGGATGTTTCTCTCACCTTTGCCTGAGCTGGATTTAACTGAGTGCCTCTCTGGGCTTTTATTTATGTGTTAATTGGAACACAGAGACTTTGTTTATGTCTTAAGGCAGTTAGAGGACCAGAAAGCAGATAAAAAACAAATAAATCTGTTCAGTAGCTTTTCTAATGCGGATCAGATTGGAGGATATAAGCAGCACTTATACTGATAACAAGTTTAAATGTGGCAAATTGCTATCTGTTTGACACTTAGATCTACCCCTTGCTGGCCAATTGTTTTAATTTAGTGTTCAATTTTTTTTGTTTAGTTAAGTGCTTCTGCCATTTTTATATGGCATTCTCAAATTAGAGCAGCTGAACGTGCTTCTATTTATCTAAGGATGGGAAGAAATAACAAGAGACAGTCCACTCATTGTTATATTCACCACTATGATCACGATCACCACCATCACCACCATCATCATCACCGTCACACCAGCCACAGTGGGAAACAGGAAATAAGAGAATCATCCTCCATGCTCCCACCTTGGCAAAAAACAAAAACTAGAAAAGACTATCTTAAAAATAACCAGAGCAGGAAAGAGCTAAAAAGATGGCTCTGCAGTAAAATACCTACCTTGTTAGTGCAAAGGTCCCAAGTTTACATCCCATTACTAACACCCCCCCAAAAAAATAGACATTCAAAATTATTGAAAGAAGTCAAAATCCAAAAATGTATCTGCTGGCTTATGCAAAAGTTAGTTTCATGTTCAAACCCTGAGACTTGTCTTCTCCCACACCAGGCAAGAACTGTTACGCCCACATTACTCCAACATGCAGAGAAGCACACAACCTCAGGATCCACAGGCTCCAAAAGCTTTAAAGGATGAAAAGGATAAGCAATACTTATTTTAACAATCACATTCTCTGCTTTATGAAAAGATCCACTAAATGAGCCCTTTAAATAGCAATCTTTTTTAGCACACTGAAAAGTAATTCAATTTACTTTTTAGAAACACATTTACCACACCAAGCAAGACCTACCTTTATCTCCAACCAGACTTTTGAATATTTATCAGTCTAAGAGAAGCGGGGACATTTTGTTCTTATGAGGGAAAAGATAAAAATCTCTGGTTTGAGAACATATTCATTGCTGGCCTATTCATATAGTATTAAGCTCTGGCCTCAGTACTGAGAAATCAAGTGTGAGTAAGTTTGATCTAGCAACACTCTGCCGATGATTTAAAAGTCCACTGTATGTCATGGTATAACTTGAAAGGAACAGCATACATATTCCAAATATATTATAACTATTCCGAGTGTGATCATATCTTGAGAGACTTGCTGTATGTAACCAGTGATACTGCGCCAAGACAAGAGACCAGATGTGGATAAGCAAATGGAAGAGAAAATTTCAGGGATGAGGAAAGCAAGTCTGAAGACCCAGAAGGAAGAGGAAGCATGACATACTAAAGCAGCTCATAGAAATATAAAAAGGCAGAATATGAGGTTGCCCAGACAATTAGGAACCCTATCAAGAAGGACTACACTGCCTCTTGGCCTTAGTCAAGTCATTTTGGGTGAACCTTACGCTCTGAATCACATGTTCCTAGTATAAAGCATGACTAGTTGTGAATGCAAACGATCTGAGGTCACTTCCAGCTATGAAATGTCATGTAATAGCTGAGGGCAGGGGAGAGCATGGAGAAATAACTTTAGCAAAGCTCTGGTGGAGGAATGGGTGAGACTGGGTTGGAGGTATGGGGTGGGTTGTGTTCATTCACCTAACACTAGTGTTCTGAGCTCACACTTTCACAGATAAAGTAATGAAATGCTTAAAAATAATGCATAAGCAGCTTTAAACAATCAGTTGGCAAGATTTTTAGGAAGCAAAGGAGATAGTGATAAGAAGATATATGCATATCATAAGCAAATGGACACTACCATACTGCTCAATAAAATGTAACATTAGGAATGTCTTCGGCCTCTCTGCCATTTCCATCCAATGTTTACTACAGACCCTACTTAGGGCCATGAAACAGGAAAAGCGAACGGTATAAAGATTAGACAGAAAGAAATAAAACGGCTACTTTTAGCAGAAAATAAAGCAATCCATGTAGACAATCTTAGAATATATAAACCACTGGAATTAATAAGAAAGTGCATCCAAGTTGAAGGGAACTGTTGATGTAAAAATCATTCAGTTACCTCATGATGCAGTTATATAATTACTATACCAGAAACTAGAAGTTTAAATGGACTTAAAACACCATTTCTGCAAGACTTTTAAGGAAAAATTTACAAAACTTTACAAGTATATTTTGAAAATAGAAGTGAATTTAAAACCATATTTATAATGGAAAGAACATCATATTATAGCAATGCCCATTCTCCTTGTTGATTTATAGATTACAAGTATATCCAATCAATATCACAAAGTAATTATCATACTACTTGAAAAACTGTTTTGAGAAGTTATTTGTAAAAATAAAAGTGTCCAGGATATCCAAGACAAATATAATTGATAAGATTACAATTCATGATAAACTTATAAAGTTAGTTACAGTATTGCCGTTGCTTATTAATTGATACAAATGAGCAATGGGGCAAAACAGTGTTCCAAGGCACTTGCAATAGAACCACAACTAATACTAATGCCCCTATGTACTCTGGTCTCCCTATACATGCATTTCTATGACAAAGTTTAATTTATAAATTAGGCACCACAAGATATGAACTTTAATTATGCCAATGCACTATGTAAAAAGTTGTGTGCAGATGGTCTCTATTGCTTTCAAAATATCTCCATGTACTTTACCTTTTCACTTAAAGAAATCACTTGCACCAGCCTCTTTTTGTCATACCTGAATCCGGACTTGAAAAATTGACTTCTCAGACTTGACTTCATGATATTTTTTTATCCCAAGAGCAGTGATAATAATGATAGTGCAACTCCCAGTTTTCTATGTGTGGAACACGGTACTGAGAACTGGGTAACTCAACCATTAGCCCTTCATAAAAGCTTTGGGACTGAGAGAGAAGGTCTCACTATGCCCAAGGCATATGAGGGGTTAAGTATGATTCCAGGACAACAAACTAGGGAACAACTAAGTCAGGATGTCAGGACTTGTCTCTGGGTCTATCTACTTGTTTCCAGAGTCTGTGATTGGACATCAAGTAAGTCAAAGCTGTTCAGGAAAACATGTTAATGAAAACTGCCTTAACTCCTCCTCTAATGCCTTCTCCCTCCTCCCTACCTGGCTCTACTGATGCATCCCTCCTCCTCATCTTAGTGGTCTCTCTCTTTGTCCCTTCTTTTCCACACTCTGGTCAACTATGGACAAATACTCCATGAATAGATACAGTCTCGACAACTCTATTTTAGACAATAACCTCCCATGAAGAAAAACATATTCATGTATTTTTTGCCAGTTCAGTACCTATAAAGATGTTCCTAATAATGTTCTTTGCAAAACTATCAAATAATCAAGGACCGATAAAGTATATACTTTATCAAATTGACTTGCACAATAGAGAAAGGATGAAGAATGATCTGGCTTGTTTTCCATTATGGACCAAAATACATGGCTATATGCTCATTGATCTGAATCATTACAATTGGATTTCATATAAAATGGTGACTGTGAGAGTCTACTTGCTCTATTCACAGAACTCAGGCTGTTGGGGGTTATATGAGCTACTAGTACAGGAAGGAGGATGGAGAAACACTTTGCTTCTGCTAGTCCTTTGGTTTTCTTTTTTTATTCTAGTTTGCTCTAGTTTGGTTCTCAGTTCCAACCTATTGGAAAGAATTCTAAAGATTTCCAATCTAGTATCCATAGTGAAAATCATTCAAATCCATGAAGTAGGTCATTTAAAAAATCTACTGCTGCTCTGCAGCTTGTTTATACAGTTTTCTAATTTGAGGAGAGAAAGGGAAATAACAAAATACTGAAATAAGGATACAGGTTGACCCATTGTAACAATGAGATGTACAAGACACTATGCTGAAAACAAACGTTACAACTTTGTTGGGGGAGTGGAGGGAGGGAGGAGTTGGAGAGATGTGGAGGGAAGGGATGGTAGGGGATAAACAAAGGAGGAGGTAACAATGCTCAATAGAAAATGGACTCATTAACTTACTCAATATCTTCACAATAAAAAGTATATACTAAAATAAATAAATAAATAAACAAAAAAAGATGTTCCTAAAAGTGAAAATATCTCAACTGGATATAATAGAACATAAAATCTATTTTAAATAATTTAAGCTGTAATGAAATATTAATAACATTTATTTAAAATATTAGACCATATTATACTATATGTGTTAGAAACAAATATATTTTGTGTTTTTTATCATGGAAAAATCTTTCAAGTTCATGCAGTTTCCTGATTGGCTCCATTTGTCCTTCAGCGTTCTGCATTTTAGAAGGGCTCCACTGAAAGCAATCTGCCGGACAGATGTCTGCTTTCATCAGAATTAAAAACAAGGCACAACTCCTGCTTGGGCAGCTCTCAATTGGATGGGAATTCACATGGTCTTCCAAGCCACTGAACCAAGAAGAAGGGCAGAGGAATTCCCACAAACAACGGCCCGGACTGTCCAGAGGTGGTGACAGATAGGATTCTAAAGAAAGGCGCAGTACACACCAGGACAACCCATCCAAGCAATTTATTAGAGGGACTTATGTGCAGAGGGGACAGCGGTATGCTCTCAAGAGACATGATCCATGTTAGCACGTACGACGGAAAGGGGTCAAGGTGCGGGGACTGTGTACAGGCTTCAAGGATGTGGCTGGGGGCTGGGACTTGTTCCTCC